CATTAGTCGCCTCTTACGACAAGCATTGGTTGCTGAAGATCAAGGCTAACTAGGATCTTAGTGGGTATGACAAGCATGGGTTGCTGAAGACCAATTCTAACCCGGATCTTCACGGGGTACTACACAAGTATATACTGAAGACCAGTTCTAACCACGATCTTCACGGGGTACTACTAAGTATGGGTTGCTGAAGATCAAGACTAACCAGGATCTTCGCGGGATACTACAAATATAGTTTATTGAAGACCAGTTCCAATCCAGGATCGACAAGTATGATTTGCTGGGTAACAGACAAGTATGATTTGCTGAAGACCAGTTCTAACCAGGATCTTTTCGGGGGGTATGATTTTGCTGAAGACCAGTTCTAACCATGATTTGCTGAAGACCAGTTCTAACCAGGATCTTTTCGGGGTACGACAAGTATGATTTGCTGAAGACCAGTTCTAACCAGGATCTTTTCGGGGTATGACAAGCATGGGTTGCTGAAGACCAGTTCTAACCAGGATCTTCACGGGTGTCTGTCATTGACCTTCCAAGAGAGGGTCAATAGCTCCTCCGTCACGAAAACTGACAGATCCTCCTTTGTCTAAATTCCCATGATATAGATGAAAGGTCTTGCATGCCAATATCATTGCAAAAAGGGTTTGATGATGTCTGCTCCTTTTTCAGGTGAATGCTGGTTAATACATACTTCTCAGTGGAACGTCTGACCTGAAGCTTCTTGATTTCACCATGGAAAAGCAAGGAAAACAGGACGCTGATGAAAACGGTACATCAAATCTCATAAACAAGATCCCCGTTAGAATTGTCACTGGCACCCGGTGTTTGTTGTAAAGGGCGATACAATGCAAAAGCTGATCGGGCTTGGTGACAAGATTCGGGCCTGTTGCCTGATGCCAGTTACTGCATTGTGTGATGTAATACATTTTAATTTTTCTTGCGCAAATAAATTATTGTTCAAGTAAATTACACAGAAGAGAATATTTATATGGAAAACAGGCATTTAAGGTAGACAGTTTTGAAAATTTAACATCGACTTTGCTGAATGTCTCAAACCCGCCGCCAGTTTGTTTTTTCACTCATATCCGAATCTCCTGAGACCGACTCAGGTGGGATAACTCCCAAACAACTACTCCATCCTTGCATACCAGTATCTGTCTAGCAGCTCAGCAATAAATGTCAAAAAGGATTTGTAAATTTCTTTTTAAGGATAACTTTGAAATATACTGGTGTATTATTTCCATAGGGGCGGTGGGGTAGCCTAGTGGCATTCGCTCGTCACGCCAAAGGTCCGGGTTCGATTCCCCACATGGCCACAATGTATGAAAACCATTTCTGGTGTTCCCCCGCCCTGATATTGCAGGAATGTTGCTAAAAGTGGCGTAAAATCATACTCACTCACTATTATTTCCAGAAACAAGAGAAACATGGGGACATCGAGTGGATGGCATCGTCACCCTGTTGTGCTACAGTGTTGGGGAAGGAACTGCTTTGCTCAACTTTGCATGTATGTATGTATGTATGTATGTATGTATGTATGTATGTATGTATGTATGTATGTATGTATGTATGTATGTATGTATGTATGTATGTATGTATGTATGTATGTATGTATGTATGTATGTATGCATGCATGCATGCATGTATGTATGCGTGTGTGTGTATGTATGTATGTGTGTGTGTATGTATGCATGCATGCATGTATGTATGTATGCATGCATGTATGTATGTATGTATGTATGTATGTATGTATGTATGTATGTATGTATGTATGTATGTATGTATGTATGTATGTATGTATGTATGTATGTATGTATGTATGTATGTATGTATGTATGTATGTATGTATGTATGTATTATTACAAGTTGTTCACTGGTCACGAGGGGGGCATTGGTTGATGTACCCTCGATGTTTGTTTATGTTCCCTGAGCCCTAAGCCCGAAGGGCGAGGGGAACATAAACAATCATCGAGGGTGCATCAACCCATGGGCCCCGAGGGACCAGTGAACAACGTATTTATCTTACCGAACACCTTAATGTTAATTTTGAATTGTTTGAAGCACGGGTACAAATCATTTTGTAGACATCGCTAGAGTTTGCTGACAAGAAAAACAGATTTAGAGTTATCTCCCTTCCCTCGATTTGCATTCGCAAAACATCGGTAATTTCCGTACATCATACGTGATTCAATGTTATTCGAGATAAAGAATTACTACCACGAAGTACAGAATGAGTTGCCATTGATGTGTGTGTGTATGTATGTATGTATGCATGTTGATAACCCTCAACTTTGCCACGTAATCTTCTGTTGCATGTCACCCATCTTCTATTTCCCAGCGTGATGCATTAACATCCCGTTTTGATCAATGTCTTGAAAGTTTGGTTCAGAAAGTTACAAAACCGTATCTTTCATCAGCAAAGCTCATAAGGTGTTTCGCTCATTGGTGTAATTTCATTGGACAGCTATTTTTGTATTTATTCATCAGACACAATGCGAAGTCTATTGGCGAATGGGTTGAGGCCTTCAGCATCATTATTGAAGTCACTGAGGTATGATGAGGTGTGAAACACAAACATAGGCCAACTCCCTCGCAAACCTGGAAACGGCCATAAGTTCTACATACCACTTGTCATCGAGGTGTAATGATGCACACTACATTTTTTATTTTATTTAACATTTGAAATTTCCATAAGAACACCAAGTATCTTGCTACTCACAATTCGCTATTAGACACATTTTCACATCCACTGATGCACATTCTACCATATTGTAACTCAAAATACCTTGCCTTCCACGGAGACTTTCTTCACTGAAAACAACAGTTTTAAAATACTGTGTTGGGCTCGTATATATTATGCTTCTTGAGACAGTTTAGAGATGTTATTTCTCCCCTCCCCCCAAAAAAAAAAAAAAATAAATAAAAAATAAATAAATAAAAAAATTATTAAAAATAAAAAAAATAAAAATAAAATAAAATAAAAAATACAGTGTATGAAATAAGCCAAAAACCCAGTCAGACATCAGGGCTGGTAACTTGTAAATGTTACCAGCCTAAAACGGATGTAACCAGACCAAACAATACAAAGAAAATAACTCAATTTTTAGTTGCAACGAATAATTTAATGAACCTAATACATGCAATATATTTACTGTCTATCAGTCTATCCATAACAACCATTTTCAGAGAATAGATTGGAAGATATGGTGAATTTACTCAGATGTATGGAACATGTTATCTAAAACTTTTACCAGACCATCGGGCTGGCCAGCTGTAAATTTAGACCGTTCGTAAGAAATCCAGCCCGTCTCGGGCGGTCGGACGGGCCTTATTTCATACACTGCCAAACATTACTGCCCTTCCACCGTGCGTCACAGTCTCCTGAACGGAACATGCAATCATTATTTCTGCTCTTGGGTGGTAAGCACGATGCTTCCCATCAACTCTGAACAGACAGAACATGCTTTCATTACCGGCGTCGGAAGGTCACGTCGCTGGCCACGACGCACAATCCCATCTCAATCTCTAACGACGTTCGTGAGACAAGTGTTATTTAATAGCGGTTTTGCTTAAGGGTGGGTACACCAAGATGTTGGGGATAAGAACATGTTTTGTCTGTATTTAGAAGACGCCTTAGATATATTTATTTCCACAGTTTAGAGTCGCCTACGTGCATTACGCCACAACCTTTGGGTCAATATTATTCGTAAAAGGTTATGCCTCATATAAAATATGCATGTACAAATTAGGAAGATGAATGTAGAAGATGAATACCTGATCAGGAAATATAGATTTTAGGACATTGTACCGCTTCACCATTATATACAATCCACAAAGGGTGCCACTTCCGATGCTTAAAATCCTGATCGAAAACCGGGCAGAACGACTATTTTAAAACCTTACGTTTTTCACAAAACAATTGTGGTGAGCTTGTGGGTCATTCTTTTTACCTACTCATAGCATTCAGTTTGTCTAACTGCAGTTTATGTTTGACTACTGACTCTCGCATTAGCACTACCTTCTGCTTTGAACAAACGTTTGGCCTCCCTTCCGTGAACATCGACAGTTTCCGTAAATCTCTGAATGACCGGAAACAGAAAACGGCTCTCATTTGCCAATTTACGTATGAAGAAATATGAGTTGATCGAGACTGAATATGACGGCGACGTGTGTATAGATATACTGCAGTCAAACCAGTTGTTGACCTATTCTCACCAGGAATCCCAATATGGTTTGCGAGATAAGAACCGATCGTTACGTTAAACACGTGTATGACCTGTGTATGGTTTGCGAGGTAAGAACCGATCGTTACGTTAAACACGTGTATGGCCTTCTGTATGGTTTGCGAGGTAAGAACCGATCGTTACGTTAAACACGTGTATGACCTGTGTATGGTTTGCGAGGTAAGAACCGATCGTTACGTTAAACACGTGTATGACCTGTGTATGGTTTGCGAGGTAAGAACCGATCGTTACGTTAACCACGTGTATGACCTGTGTATGGTTTGCGAGGTAAGAACCGATCGTTACGTTAAACACGTGTATGACCTGTGTATGGTTTGCAGATAAGAACCGATCGTTACGTTAACCACCTGTATGACCTGTGTATGGTTTGCGAGATAAGAACCGATCGTTACGTTAACCACGTGTATGACCTGTGTATGGTTTGCGAGGTAAGAACCGATCGTTACGTTAAACACGTGTATGACCTGTGTATGGTTTGCGAGGTAAGAACCGATCGTTACGTTAAACACGTGTATGACCTGTGTATGGTTTGCGAGGTAAGAACCGATCGTTACGTTAAACACGTGTATGGCCTTCTGTATGGTTTGCGAGGTAAGAACCGATCGTTACGTTAACCACGTGTATGACCTGTGTATGGTTTGCGAGGTAAGAACCGATCGTTACGTTAAACACGTGTATGACCTTCTGTGGGTCGTGTTGTAAACTAACGTCCAAAAGAAACTTGGCAACTAAAACAACATAAAAGAAAGCCAGCAGTCGTTTTCCATTCTAATTAAAAAGGTTATTTCATGTATTTATTCAAATATGGAACGGAAATAAACAATGATAACAACTGAATAACAATATGAGTGTTCTGGCAGTCACAGATTGTCGTCATTGATCCAGTGTTGTTAAAGAGACCTGGGTGACCTACTTGGCAAGCACTGCAAACAGAAAGAAACACCATCTAAATATTTCATGCAACACCTTCAGCTAGGTGGGCAGAGTTGCACCCTCACTTGCTATAAGTCTTCAAGATGACAAATAAAACCAACTGAGTTCTGAAGACGACAACTAAACTTTGACACATGGCATTGAAATCTGCTATTTATTGTTGGCCCTACCCTTACCGCCAACTACAGTATGTATGGCCTGGGCGGGTGACAGGGACTACAGATACAGGAGGATACGCTCACCATTTAGCGAAGGCCAGTTGCATCACTATCAGGTGTTGATGTCTCACAAACACATGTTAATGATATAGACCAAACCAACAGACAAACTGTGTCTCTTTAATGTCCAGTAGAAGCCCATTAAACTCTCAACATCATAATATACTTGAAGGATTTTGAAAACACATGACACAGAATTATAGCTCAGTGGAACAATTTCAGAAATATCTTTAGAAGAAAATACTTATGTCAAGCAACACTTCTCTAAAAATAAATAATGCATTTTCCCCAATAATACTAACAATCAGCCCACAGGGAATCTACTATATAATTTATTCCAAAAAAATTGCGTATACAGATTACACTATAAATTAAAAAGTTCGAATGAATTAATGCAACGTTGCATTAAATCGACTCTCGAGCCCCTAACAGGCCTAACATTATTTCAAGCGAATCCCATAGAGTTATGTCCCTTGGAGCGCTCTTTGTGAATACCCCACGTACAACTTGTGATTGAAACCAGTTCGGTAAACACCGACAACACCGCGTGCGACAGTTTCCGATGTACAGAGCTATCGTTTACATTCCATATATGGCAAGTGTTCTCTGTTTGGAAGCTTTTCGCATAGACGTTTCTATGATCGATTTCAGGCAAGTCGTTAGGGATAATAAGTCTTTTATTGCATCAATAGGAAAGTAAATTAAGTGCATATGCTCTCAATATATAAAATATAGGCCAAAATATTGCCGAAAATGTGTGACCTTGTACCGTTAAATAACTGATTGATATCATTTGGTTTCATCATACCTTACAAATGGCATTATAACGTAAAGTACTGAGTGATATTGACATATCAGGTTTGGACAGTAATTATAGGAAATCTGGTGCCTTTATCCACATTTTTGATTATAATAACACACGTGTATTATCTTTGTATTAAGAACATATTTTGCCTCAACACGTCGCTGGTGTGTACCAGTAACACCAGCCTGTCATGGCTTCTGTGTGGGTGAGTGAGTGAGTTCAGTTTCACGCCGCACTCAGCAATATCCCAGCTATATGGCGGCGGTCTGTAAATAATCGAGTCTGGACCAGACAATCAAGTGACCAACAGCATAAGCATCGATCTGCGCAATTGGGATACGATGACATGTGTTAACCAAGTCAGTGAAACTGGCCACCCGATCCCGTTAGTCGCCTCTTTCGACAAGCATAGTCGCCTTTTATGGCAAGCACATGGGTTGCTGAAGATCTATTCTACCCCGGATCTTCACGGGTCGGCTTCTGTGTGATGTCACTGTGACACAGTGAAGCTGCTCTCGGTCAATGTCAGTTTCTTGGATCCATAAAACATGGCAGGTTCCCATGAAGGTACAATATAATACGGTTATAACGAACTCAAAGGGACCGTATATTTCACCTCGTTACAACCGTAGTTAATTTCACCTGACATCTTCAGCAAGCACCCGGGATGAACCAGCATGTCCTTGAGTACGTTATAAGCATGTTTAGCATAATGCAGGTAATTCATAAATATGTAATGTACTCACATTTCTCTAGTCCGCAGTAGTTACAGCATGGGGGCGGACCACAACACGTGAGGCACAAGTGGGGTCTGGGGGTAGCTGCAAGGATGAGAAAATGTCTGTTATCAAGGGCACGGAGAACGTGTCCCCCCTTGGGAACAGTGAGTGATACGCATGAAGATCCGGGTTAGAATTCGTCTTCACCAACCCACCCTTGTCGTAAGAGGGATCGGGTGGTCAGGCTCGTTTACTTGGTTGACACATGTCATCGTATCCAAAATGCGTAGACGTATACTTATGGTATTGATCACTGTATTGTCTGGTCTGATTATTTACAGACCGGAACATTGCTGCGCTAAACAACAAATAAAGACGTAAACATGCATACACTGTGTTCCCCGACAATTCGTGACATCGTACACTGTGTTCCCCGACAATTCGTGACACCATACACTGTGTTCCCCGACAATTCGTGACATCGTACACTGTGTTCCCCGACAATTCGTGACATCATACACTGTGTTCCCCGACAATTCGTGACATCATACACTGTGTTCCCCGACAATTCGGGACATCATACACTGTGTTCCCCGACAATACGGGACATCATACACTGTCCATTGTATATATCTGACATTTTAGTATTGTCAACTTTCGCTGAGAAAATATCTTAAGCGCAAAAAAAAGGTTTGCATTTGCTGTCCTTTGTGCACATTGGTTGTACGGCTCTGCGTGCTGTCGTCGAGTGAGTGAGTGAATTTCGTTTTGCACCGCTTTTAGCATTATTTCAGCAATATCGCTGCGGGGGACACCAGAAATGGGCTTCACACATCGTACCCAAATTGAAACTGGGTTCTCGGCGTGACGAGCGAACGCTTTAGCTATAAGGCTACCCCACCGACATACTGTCATTGAAGCCTTACGGACATCTTGCGATACAAACGCTTTGATGTATAGATGTATATTGTACTATACATTTCACTGTCGCGGTTGTGGTACAATATCTTAATAACTGTGCAAAAGCAATATGAAGAACATAGTACACTTAAAGGTTTGCATGAGGCTTGTCTCGTCTGATATAAATGTAAAGCTTAAGCGTTTGTTAAAGAAAATGAAATGTCCTGTCAGGTGATATGCAAATTAGCATATTGCAGTGGTAGTATGCTGAGTCATCATCACGGCGTGGGACAACGTGAAGCAGAGCGACGTCATGCCCACGTGATGTCACGAAACATTAAATACAGTCCATTTTATGTGACGTCAAACGAACAATAAATTGATAATGCTGAACTACGCACAATCTCGCAGTGATAAGTTAGTATAACATCGCTAGTTCGACTTTGAGCTTCATACAGCATAAAAAGCGAGCAGCAATATTTGGACACATTATGGAAAATCATCGTAGACGCTAGCAAGCGGAATTACCAATAAATGGTTCTGTACCGAAGGCTACTCTCGTTAAGATCAGGGTTAGAATTGATCTTCAGTAACCCATCCTTGTCGTAAGATGCGACTAACGGGATCGGGTGCTAAGGTTTGCTGACTTGATTCACACATGCCATCGTATCCCAATTGCGTAGATCGATGCTCATGGTGTTGATCACTGGATTACCCGGTCCAGACTCGATTATTTACAAATCGCCTCCATATATCTGAAATATTGCTGAGTGCGGCGTTAAACAACAAAGCAACCAACCTATCATAAAGCTGGAACCTTTCCTGAGTGGAACAAAGACTTGTGTGAGTGTCATCACTGATTCCCATTGATAACATCCAATCAAGTCAGAACGGCAACTGTTCCCAATGTGTGAGCCATTTGGGGGTCGCCCTGAATGGTTTTCTTGATGCAGCGTTTCATTTCTTAATTAAGTAACAGTGCTTACTTTTCGGTGTTGGTTTGCACATGCAGGTTGGGCATCCGTTGATCCTCACGACTCCTGCGGGACATTTTAACCACAGCTGACAAGGACGGTAGTAGGGGCAGTTGTAGGCTGGAACAGAAAAGGATAACGCGTCATAATCTGACGTACAAAAGAAAGTACACACTTGTGTTTTTGGATTATTTTCCCCAAAACATTTTGAACAGTGTTTTGATTGACTTACAAACCATTGTGTACGTATTTAAGACACAAATAGTCGGTGTTTCCACATTTTCCTTTTGGTTACTGAGTATTTGATGACATTTAGAAATGTCATTTAGAACCAACATCGCTTCTGCAAGCCAAACACGGGCACCTGCTAGAAGTCACTTGATAAGAGAACATGAATGTAGATAAACACACCCTTCCCCAGTCTCGTCTAGGCTGAATACATGTCATCCCGTGCATAATTAGAGTGAGTATGTTTTTAAGCCGCTTTTAGCAATATTCCAGCAATATTACGGCGTGGGACACCAGAAATGGGCTTCACACATTGTACCCATGTGGGAAATCGAACCAGGGTCTTCTGCATGAGGATCGGACGCTTTAACCACTAGTCTACCCCACCGTCCAATCACATTGCGAAGGACTAGCGTTTCCTTTATGTGACTGAGTGAATGAAATACACAACATACACAATTTCAATTACTTTTACAGCAACTTCTTAACCATAACATGGAGTGCAGATTTGTTGATGTCACCACTGATGACGATGATGATGATGATGATGATGACGATGAGGAGGAGGAAGAGGAGGAGGGTGAAGATGATTAAAAAAGAGCAATAAGTATTTACTTACGTCTGTTACATTCACATGTGGGACACCCGTTAATCTTTTTGTAACCGAAGATACATTTCTTTTGTTGCGGACATTGAATTTCCGGGCAAGGAGTTGGCAAATCTGTGACAGAAAGTTACAGTGAGATAGTGAAAGTTAATTTACATATCTATATTCTACACTGTAGTGAAATTAGTGAGTGAGTTAGAGAGTTTAGTTTAAGCAATATTCCACCAATATCACGGCGGGGGCCACCACAAATGGGCTTCACACATTGTACCCATGTGGGGGGAATCGAACCCGGGTCATCGGCGTGACAAGCCAACGCTTTAACCAATAGGTTACCCGCCGCCAATGGAACGAGAAGTGTTGGCGTAACCGTTGACAAATTATATATATTTTGTAGATATCTAAGTAGGTAGTAGTGGGTGGGTGCATGTGTAGTTAGGTAGATAGATAATCAAGTCATTAAAATGAAGTAACATGTATTTATATATGCTATTCGAAAAAAATAGTTATGTAAACATATTACCGAAGATATACTCATGTGATTTTCGAGGAAAGTGGAGGGGCATGGATAGTGTTTCTCAAACGCCTCGATATTTTATCCCAAAACTAATTTATGATCGTGGGTTGGAATCCCTTTCGGCTGGCCTGTACCTTACCAAGTACCGGGACACGCATCATTATGGAGGTTTTTTTCTCTATAAATTTGACACTCATTTGTTGTAGCGTTAAAGTAACTAAAGTTCGAACTCACACGCACACTAACTCGTCCCACCAACCCACCAACCCAGCCAATCACCCACCTACCCATCTTTTAACTCCCTCCCTCACGCACGCACTCACTCACTCACTCACTCACTCACTCACTCACTCACTCACTCACTCACTCACTCACTCACTCACTCACTCACTCACTCACTCACTCACTCACTCACTCACGCACTCACTCACTAGCGTTGACCTACCTTGTACGAGTGCCACTGCAGAACACACGATAAGAGTCAGGCCAAACAACAGACAGACTGAAAAGCGGTCCATGTTTCTGTCTAAGATCAAGTAACTTTATAAACCACGCGTGTCATCGGCTTATGTACATCTTAACATCTGAATGTGAAAGCTGATTGGCTGAGAATCCACCAATTATATTTCATATAGGAGTTGTCAATGTACTGATATTGACATCTTACAACCCGGATACTGAAACACCTGAAGGAAACATGTTGATAAACAACTCGGCGTTTGTCCCTGAATATTCACGAGACTCACTGTCCCGCTGCCCGGCAGGGGTTGTGGATATGAAGGTGCATTAGCAACCTGTTACTGTTAGGTTTATAACGGTAATGAATGAGTATTGCGGGTTGAATATATGAATATAGACAGTGGATAGTGTGGACAATGGCGATGCAACTATAAGAAAAGAGAAGTTGTAAAAAATATATGATTTACTCGGAGACAGTTTATCAAACAAAAGTAGCAATCGGTTAATATAATTTTCAATTAAATTCATCTTGTTTATTCAGAATGTGTGACCTCCAGTTCATATACAGATGATACAAGCAGCATGTTGGAACTTTCAATTTACAAAATTTGACGTCTCAGATGATGAGCATAAAGTTGTAGCTTAATAATAGCATTTGCATCATTAGATGTCATTAAGTTGATGAAAATAATGTTTCTATATTATAAGATGTACATACAAACGGTAGGTATTTAGATCTTAAGCTTTCATAAGCTGGACATACAATGTAATGAATAAATGGGACATAGTAATTGGGCACAGAGTTTTCATATCCACACAAAGAGTGTTTGTTTGTATCACAAAAAGAGGGCCATTCATTGGTGATTGTGGTCAATTATTGTTTAAAAAAATATGCAAACGCATATTCTAAGCTAATCATTTCGTACATGAGCGAGAAATTGTCAGTTCGTAATATTTCGCAGTATTGCTGAGACGTCCGGGAATTCTGATTGCCCTTTCCGAGAAGTGACATGCCCGAGATACATGGGCATCGAGTACACTCGCCTTCAGCACTGACAACAACACCATAAATAAATGCACACCTTACACAGCTTTATTGCGCACAACTGGAGAGAGGCGTCATAATAGACTGGTTCTTCTGTATCCATGCAATTGACACTCCTTTCTTTACGTGAGAACGACACAAACAGAGGCTTGTTTCATATTGAAATACGTCGCGGACAGTTACAGCGGCAGTCGGGTCAACTCGCCCCAGGACGTTACCTGTATGACTCCTTATTGTGGGACATTGTGAATTTCTTACACGCCGGTGGGTGAGAAACTCATGCGAGATAACTTGTGTCAAACATGTGGGTGAGATCGTCCCAGGTCCGAGATTGTTATAAGGACCTGAGGTGACATGACGGACAACTTCCCCAATTGTAACTCATTGATCAGCTGCTTGTGCTTCAATCGAATGCAGACATGTTACTCGTCTCAAGCCCACCGATTGGTTATGTTCTCTTTTGTATCGTAAACAATGCTTTAAACAAACCCGAATATGTAACATGCATCTATTTTCTTTTATTCTTCACCTTATCGTTTACTACCGTGGTCAGTCAATCGGTAGTATCTGTGTAAACAATTAATGGAATATAGCCGGTAAAGACTCGGCGTGCTATCTCCATTGTGGCTGCCCTTTGAACATACAAAATGTACAACATTCGCACTTTCTCCCACGAATAGTATTACTTTGCATATTTCCTGTCATCGTAACACAGTTTGGGTATTATCTGTTGTTTAACACCGCATTCAGCAATATTCCATCTATATGGCGGGGGTCTGTAAATAATCGAGTCTGAATTCAGACAATCCATTGATCAACAGCATGAGCATCGATCTGCGCAAATGGGAACCGATGACATGTGCGGCGTAAAACTAAACTCACTCACTCACCCACTCGTCAAGTGCAGCGTCATTCGGGTCACCTCGTCCTAGTTCGTTATCTACATTATACCTCGGAGGCCATTTGTATAGTCACAGTGATTTATTGAAAAACGCATACCATTCACTCGGCACAATTTCTTCACAACAATTTCGAAAAAAGATTTTAAAAGGTTATTACAAATTTGAATTAAAACTCGATTTCGCAATTCCTAAAAGCGTCAGTACAGCCTCGAATAGACAAGTTGGCAAGGGTAACCAGTCCGTGCCAATACAATATTTTAACTGTAGCAACAGAGGCATTGATATGAGATGAACCATGCAGCTCTGGACTGGAATTCTTCACCACTCGACCCTTTCCGTTCCCACTCGGCCCTTACCGCCACCACTCGACACATAACGCTCACCGACATAAGGATCCCATTCAGTGGTATAACATTCAGTTTTTCGTCTTCAGGCGAGTACGGAACAAAGTTAATAAATCGCCACGATAGGCGCTGGAGACGACATTCGACTTGTCCTGATATGTAAGAGCTGGGCATAATCTAGGTCACGAATGACACTCCCGCGGAAGGATTTCTCTGCGCCATTAATTGAGCTCAGTTAGAGCCTACCCGTCACCACCAGTACCGTACACGTGGATACTCAATGTGCTGCTTTCAATATCATATACAGTGAGGATGTACAAGTAATCAGGTTTGTGATTCAGATTCTTAAAAAAATATCTTAAAGTTACCTAAATGTTGAGACAGGGTTAATGACCATAGATAATAAACACATCGATATTTTCCATATTAGAGTCTTTATTAAACAAATGTTATTGACAAAATCATGATTTAAAACACATTCCATATGTTATATTTTATGACAGCCACAAGCAGGGCAGACTAACACAAATGTTCACTAATACTGGACGAGGTCAGTTGGAGTTAGGGCACAGTCATCAGAGAATATGGCTATCGGCAGGGGAGGGTCAGAAAATAAAAATACACTTATTGGTGGATGATAATGTGAAAATGGCTAGTTATTAAAAACAAAGAAGAAAATAAAAGAAGAAAACAAGTGCTTTTGCATTTTGTCTTTTCAAAGAAAAATGGACAAAGACATTGGGAGGGTTTTCCATGACATGAGAAACGTGTCCAATCAGACACCACCGCCCCAACCACCACCCCCACCCACTTCCCTCAAACCAACATCCCTCACGCCCGTAATAATTAACCGGCACCATATCAAGTTGTTACAAGACAGAATTTGTAGTTAAGATTACTGATTAACAAAGGAGAGATTACAGAGATTCCGAACCCCATGAACGGTTTTGCTTCACCCTCTTCGACAGAACCACGAAAACAGGCACCCACGACGTCGTATACATCTACACGTCGGACAGCCGTTAACGACAACGCGGCCGTATCGACAGTAGTTACGACACCGAACAGGAAAACATTTCTTTTCTTTGCAGAGACAAGACTTGCACCCATTAATTATCTGATATCCATTAGAACAGGACCGTGGGCAGTTCAGTAGAGGACACGGCTTGGACTTACATATGCATGTTTGACATCCGTTTATAATCTTTCTTCCATAGAAGCAATGCCTTGTGCACGTTAGAGCCGGGCATATTTTAGGCCTACATTTACAGGTAAGACATCCTTTCACGACCTCTCTGCCATTGGGACATACATTGGAACATTTCGTTGATGGACACATAAGTTTGTTACACTCGCATGTGGGACATCCTTTTGGGGACAGTTTGCTGCCATAATGGCAAATTGTGGAACATTTGATCAAAGGACATGGTTTTGGTTTGCAGGCACATGTCTCGCAGTCGTTTACAGTCAGTCGACCAGTAGCACACGGGGTGGTGCAACGGAGCTTGGGACAAATATTTGGCTTACATTTGCATGTCTGGCACCCGTCAACAGAAAGGAATCCATTGGCACACTTGTTTCCACAAGTTAGCTTAGGGCAAGGCTTAGGTTTACATGTACAAGTTTCACAACCATCTTTGAGTGTGCGTCCGTTTGGGCACTTATTACCACAAGTTAGCTTAGGACAAGCCTTCGGTTTACATGTACAAGTTTCACAACCATCTTTGATTGTGCGTCCGTTTGGGCACTTATTACCACAAGTTAGCTTAGGACAAACCTTCGGTTTACATGTACAAATTTTACAACCATCTTTGATTGTGCGTCCGTTTGGGCACTTGTTTCCACAAATTAGCTTAGGGCAAGGCTTAGGTTTACATGTACAAGTTTCACAACCATCTTTGAGTGTGCGTCCGTTTGGGCACTTATTACCACAAGTTAGCTTAGGACAAGCCTTCGGTTTACATGTACAAGTTTCACAACCATCTTTGATTGTGCGTCCGTTTGGGCACTTATTACCACAAGTTAGCTTAGGACAAGCCTTCGGTTTACATGTACAAGTTTTACAACCATCTTTGATTGTGCGTCCGTTTGGGCACTTGTTACCACAAGTTAGCTTAGGACAAGCCTTCGGTTTACATGTACAAGTTTTACAACCATCTTTGATTGTGCGTCCGTTTGGGCACTTGTTTCCACAAATTAGCTTAGGGCAAGGCTTAGATTTACATGTACAAGTTTCACAACCATCTTTGATTGTGCGTCCGTTTGGGCACTTATTACCACAAGTTAGCTTAGGGCAAGGCTTAGGTTTACATGTACAAGTTTCTACAACCATCTTTGATTGATTGCGTCCGTTTGGGCACTTATTACCACAAGTTAGCTTAGGACAAGCCTTCGGTTTACATGTACAAGTTTTACAACCATCTTTGATTGTGCGTCCGTTTGGGCACTTATTACCACAAGTTAGCTTAGGACAAGCCTTCGGTTTACATGTACAAGTTTTACAACCATCTTTGATTGTGCGTCCGTTTGGGCACTTATTACCACAAGTTAGCTTAGGGCAAGCCTTCGGTTTACATGTACAAGTTTCACAACCATCTTTGATTGTGCGTCCGTTTGGGCACTTGTTTCCACCTACAAATTAGCTTAGGGCAAGGCTTAGGTTTACATGTACAAGTTTCACAACCATCTTTGATTGTGCGTCCGTTTGGGCACTTATTACCACAAGTTAGCTTAGGACAAGCCTTCGGTTTACATGTACAAGTTTCACAACCATCTTTGATT